GCTGGTTTGCCCATTGGAAACCAGCTTGAAAACCTTCATTGTAAACCTTCTTGTTTTCTGAAGAAGCAATGGAGACACGAAACAAAGATTTCTGAAATATTAGAAGAGACCACACACGAAAATTTTCGCAATTAGAAACATTGGCGGACCTTTTTCAGACTTTATTCTATACGTCCAATATTTTAATATCTTCAATTTCGACAGAAAACAGAAAAATTTATAAAACACTTTCGCGTTTTACTATTGTCAAGGATGAAATAGAAAAATTAATGTTACAAGAAGACTTACAAGACGATGACGATGATACATAAATAATACTAAATAAATTTTATTTTTATTCATAAAAATTGTTTTCATGTTAAACTTATGTTTACGTTAATAAAAATTATGCTTATAAATTGAACGTTCACATTAAGAGTATAGTATATTCACTAACTTTTTGAAATATAACGCTTATTTTTGTTTTATTTTTAATTTTTTCGGCAAGAAAATAATCCGGTGTGATTAAATGTAATAATAATACTTGTTTTAAATGCTGGAACGACACAGCGGCCGCTATACTTTCGTTTGAAGTCTTCAAATAGCGCTACAATTGGCCCTTAACAGCTAATTCGCCGTTCTGGCCCACTGTGGTACGTGGCGATTTTGCGTTTTGTAAAATTCCGATGTTGCATTAGAAAACAAAAGAGTGCTATGGCAATATACAGGGTGGCTCGTCACATTTTGCCATCTAGATTTGCATCATTATTATTACTCACAGCAAACAATGTTTCGGATGAAGTTTTGAGAGGAACATATGCTGGTGGTATATTTTTTTTTGTAGGGGGACGTGTAAAGGACATATGAAGGTCTGTTTCGGCAAATGCTGAGTTCTTCGCAACATGGAGAACTGTCGCAGGCTCCGAAGATTGTTCTTGTGAAGGCGTATTCCCGTTATTTGAAAACGTTGGTGACAGCGTTGTAGCGATGTATGGTTGCAAGCTCTGCAATTGTTGCAACGCCCCTTTGAGCGATAGGCTTTTCTTTGATGAGTACCTAGACAATTGAAACACAGCAGAAGTTGTGTAACGAAAGCTTTGCGCTGACACGATGATAATGCATGCCACGATTTGCAGGCTGGACACACGTTTCCAGAAACCGTGATCTGATACGCTTGAGGTTTGAAGAGTTGCGGTTTAACCGGCGTTTGCACCACGGAGGCTCGTTCCATAGATTCTAATGCACGAATGTGCTGCACTAAGAATTAGTTTAGTTGGGCAAGAGTCGGCAGGTCAGTTGAGTTGCAGATGTGGAGTTCCCACTCTCGTAAGCTTTCGGAGTCGAATTTGCGAGACACCCAGTAGACAATGAACGGGTCTCAATTATTTGTGTCGCATTTTAAACCGTTGAGTGCGCCAAGAACTTCGGTTGTTGTGTCATGTAAACATTTTAGATCGGCGGCCGATTCGTGCGACGACCTTTTGAGTAAAAACAACAACTCTAATTGTGCGTCGACAAGGACGCGGCGGTTTTCGTAACGATCTGAGATGAGTTGCCATGCCAATTTGAAATTGTCCCCAGTAACGATTAAATTGATTATACGTTGCGCAGCTTCACGGGTAACGCTTAATTTCAGATAATGGAACTTTTCAACCTCAGGTATGAATGGGTTATTAACTACCATCGACTCAAAAAGATCCCGAAATGCAGTTCATTCTTTGTAAATTCCAGAGAATTTTGGTAAAGATAATTGGGGTAGAAAACGCATTTGCTGAGTCTGAGTGTTACCGGATGACGTCGGGTAGTAGTTTTCACTAGGTGCGATTTTCGATTTGGTTTCAAATTTTGTTAAATACTCATTCAGAGTTGCCTGGCTGTCGATCACCATTTTCTCGCATTGCAAGAGAAGATCTTCTGAGAAATAAGATGAATTTTTTACGGCTTCCGTTTTTAGATCGGTGATCTTTAAATGATTTGTTTAAAACAATTTCCAGTTGTCCTGAAAAGCTGCTAAGCGGGATTTGACATACACTTCAGCGATGTTGGCTCTCCCTTCGGCTCGTTGATGAAAAATGCTCGAATTGGCGATCTATCAGACCGTTAATCGTCGACGTTTTGACTAGTAACGGTTTTGTTTATTACGCAAGAATAGAAGTTGTTCGTTTAAAAGGTCACTGTGCACAGAGGTCGAGCACGCTCAAGTTTTAAACTGTAACCTTGACTCTACGCGGTGTATCAGAAAAGAGACACATTCACTAAAATTTACTTTCACTTCCTTCGCAGATCGAAGAGAAACGCGGTTAATCCGGCTCGAAGGTCCAAAAAGTTTCAGCAAGGAGCAAAAGAAATAACGGAACGAAGAGGAAAGTGTTCACGAACGACGACACAGTACACGTTTTGTATTAACAGTTTAATGAACAATAAGAACTTAGACGAACGAATACACCACACGAATTGCACGATTGTACAAACGCTATTTTATAGAACAATAAAAAAGTACATTAAGATAGTCACTTCGTCTTTTCGAAAGTGGTCGAAGGTAACGAGAACGAGTAGTCTTTTCGAAGGTAACGAGGACGATTCTAAATCGCGAACCGTTGTCGGCGGTTTTTGTAATTCGTCCAGGATTACAAAAAGGGGATCGTTGATGCATCGGATAAAGCAGGAACCTACCTTTACGCCGGTAGGCCGCAACAAGGTCATTAATATTTTTTTAAATGGAATCATATATATTTTATTGCATCAACTAATACTCCATCACATTCTTTAGAAAAAAGCATTAATCTATTTGTGTGAAAAAATCATTAGTTTAGGAGATATTTTAATTCTAACTTGTTACGAAATCGTGACTGTCTAATCAATATTATAAATTGTCCAGAAATTCTTGTTTGATATTACGATAATGAAAAAGAACAAATTCTCATTTTTAAAAATTAAATAACTTTTCAATTCAACAAATAAAAGTTTAAATTCAATAATTAACAAATTTAAATGTAACTTACCCATAGAATCGCAAATAGTTACATGGATGAAAATGCATCTCTGTCACCGGGACGATCCACCGATCGTTAGAATGAATAAATCACCACACAGAAATTCTCAATTTACTTCACTATCATCTATCACTGTCATCTTTTATTATTAGCTTGAATTATCATTTTTCCTTGTCAGTTTTCACTAATTAGTCATTGCGAATCCGACACGTGAATAGACCAAATCAAAAAACGCGAACGAAAATACATGAATAATTTCATGAAAAATTCATGAAGCGAAATTTTCGATTAAAAACTATGATATTTTATTCCGCCTGGTTTTTTTTCGACAATAAACGATGACTGTCTCTTTTAACTTTCAGCTAATAGCGCCCTGTTATATCGACGCAGGGTCGATAGCCTTGTTTATAACCACGATCGGCCGTCACACTCGAAGTTGTTACTCATGCATTTAGACAGTTTTTTTGCTAGTAATCCGAAAATGTAGCCATAACCAATATTTTGGCGAAGAAAAAAATTTTTCAGAACCGTCTCGCCTACTACCTTTTTTCGACTGTTACACTAGTTTCAGGGGGACTCACAAGGGACATTACCTAATTGATTCATGCCGATTTTGATGCGTTTTGTTCCTTGCGGCGCGGCGTGGCGGTGACTAGAATCGTGTCACATACCTGCGACACTTACAATAAATATTGAGAAATCAATTAACGGCAAATGGAAATCCATAAAATGTCAAGAACATTGTAAAAGATTGTAAAAATAATGATATTATTAATAAATATTGCCCTTCTAAATAGTAAATATGCTGATTTCCCTTCTTCACAGGGAGTGATTTTAAATTATATATCTAATAAACATTGCTACAAACACCATATTCTGAAAACATGTATCCTCTATCTTAGTCCATACTTTACATACACAAAGTTACAAAAAAATAGATCAACATTTAGCACAAAAGTTTAAACAAAAATTTTCAAACATTCCCTATTTAAAGTCCAGCAACTTAAAAAAGAGCTTCCAATTATTTCCATTAATGCCGGAGATATTCCCAATAGTATGATTTCAGCCCTTAAATTTGAGGGCCGTTTTCACCCTTTCAATGTGAACGATGGCCAATAAAAAAAATACGTATCAAATATTTTTTTGCGTTCTATATCATATCAAAGTGCATCAAAGTCGGTGTGTGTCGATTGGGTAATGTCCCTTGTCAGTATATTGCATATTAATAAATTTGGACGTACTGCAATCTTTTTCAAAAATGTACTTTCTGATAAATCTTTGATTGATTTTCTACATCGTATATGCAGAATGCCTTGAGAAATAATGATTACCATCAAAAACATTCATATGCAGCAGCAGTGGGATATGTTTTTATCCCAAACGCGAAAAACGGGCGTATGAAAAATTTAGACGTTCTTAATAAAAATTTATTATTCGAACAAAAAAGGAGCAAATATAAATAACTAATATTTTGTACATTCGTCGGAATACTGTATAGTTGAGAAAATCCTGTTTGGCATATTTGCAATTAAAATAGTTTCAGGCTCGATTCTCGCCCATGCTATTATAATGCCATATTTCAGGTGTGCAACTGTATTGTATTGATGGCAATTACTGTAGATATTTCGAGCAAGAATTCCCCATAAATTCTCTATTGGATTCTCTATTGGATGGTCAGTCCATAACCTTTAAATTCTTATCTACTTCAACATTATCATGTTGGAAGGTAAATTTAACGCTTTGAAAGCGTCGAATATAAGAATACAACAAGAATTGCTCTATTTGCCTCGCTGGCATAAAATCTAGGAAAAGTTCCGTCGTCTCTTTAATTGTTATAATGAAAAACAGCTATTAATACAATAATATGTCCATTCTTATCAAGATCCATAGTTTAGAAACTACTTTTAAAAAATGTTAACAGTTATTCTGTACATTTTCAGTACACAAATATACTATACATATTTAATAATTTGAAATTTCATTTACGGAAATTGTAATACTTTTTCAGTAATAGGTTAAAACACTCACCGATAAATTCTTCTTTTACAAACGTATGGTATATTCACGTACGTATTTTTCGTTGTTTATATCGATGAATATATTTTGTTGAAAGAAAAAGGGAAGTCGCACGTAAACACAAAGCTACATAAAAATTACTCGTATTTATCACTTCAGTTTGCTATAGAAAGGAAGTATTCGAATTTTACAGAAAGATGTGAATAGATTAACTCAACGACTTGCACCTTGCGATTTTATATCGAAAAGTGACTACTTCGTCATGCCGGCAAGGTCCTCTGGGTCCTTTCGAACATAATCCTCCGGTGGGGAAACAGGTACTGATAAATTATAGCACAAGATAAAGACGATGGAATCCATAATTAATTATTTTAATCGTGAATGTCATTTTGTTTCTTTCTTCACGACTTTTTCCTGTTTGGGATACTTCTCTCTCGCACGTACCTACGTCTGAATATTTCTCGACACAAAATCAAATGTTTCTGAATTCGTTATCGAATTTCTCGTAAATCGTCTATGCCACAAAATATTGAATTCTTCGTTTCTTTTGTGAAAATGCCTTACTGTTGCCTCTGGTGCACATAAGTTCCGTTACTGTAAATTGGAGGCCAGAAGTACCGCGCCCTCCTGCTCGCTCTTTTATACCCCGAAAATTCGGAATTTGCCTGTTACTTTTCAAGTCCTCGCAAGCTACCTGTATGATAAATACGTACAATTTTTACATCTTATTTTTAATTATTTTTGTAGACATTAATTAATAAAGTAAGTATTTTTATTAATTCGTTAGTAATATATTCTGATTAATATTGAATAATTTTAACATAAAAATGATATTTCAATAATAATTTAATTCGAAATACATTCTCTGTCCTTTTCCACTTGCTGCACGCGTATCCTACAGGGACATAGGCTAGCGAAGGGCGTGATCTTTGTTTAAAATTATTTGATTATTAATCATTTATTCGATTACTAATCATTTATTTTAATAATTTATTTTAATAATTATTTATAACCTAAATAGTTTATGTTTTATTGACTGATTAAATACTTCATATGGTAATTCTTTCGACACATGACGCAATCGGTAAAAAAAGAAACAGTCGATAATGAAAGTAATAAAAAACAATCAAAATGATGAATTTACAATAAAGAAACTAAATATACACCGAAATTCGTCAGAGTTATATCTTCTGGGATGTCATAACTTCCTCCTTATGAAGTTTCTTCTCCTCAAGAGACGTGTTTCCAGTTTTTGGGAAATACTGAATAATGTATTTGCAGCAACGACAGGTTTTTTCGTTATTCCTCGAAGATGCTGTGCCCTCTTCAAATAACACATCTTCCAGTGCTTACGTCTTGGGTCAGGGAAGGGGGTCTTAATAATTTTGATATAATTCCAGGGGGGGGGGGGGGGGGTAGTATATCCATTTTCTTAAGCTTCCATTCTCTTCTAGAACATTTCTCGGGATAAAGAATATTGCTCAGGTTATTATTGCGTTTCTTCTGTATCAAATTAGTGATTTTGCATATGATTTCTTCTTTCTTTCTCTCTCTCTCTATATATATATGTGTGTTAAATAATCAGAATTATGGAAAATAAAAAACTAATAATACACTTTTAAACACGAACAAATTATTTAATAAAGAACACATACAACAAACATTTTAACTTAAAGATTAACCATTTAAACAGGGATTACTTTTTTTTCAAATCAAACACATCACGAATGCTTACATTTTCATAACGACAAGACGAAAGTACAATATTCAATTATTTTGTTTCTAATATTTAATTATTCTGTTACTAACATCGCACATCATTTCTAATACTGTAAGATGTCGCTATATGCTAAATTTATTAATAATTTAACAAAATAAATTAAAGTCACGGAGAAGCGAAAGAATAAAATGTAAACCTTCTGTTTCTTATGAAGAATTAGAATTAAATGATGATTATTTTATGTGCGCACAATCTGTAGTTTATAAAATTCCAAATTCATTTCAAGAAGTAAAATATAAAAATGACAGAGAAAAATGGGGAATTACTATTATGGGATGAGAACTCGCAGGGAAAAATAATGACTTTACTTTTCCACCTTTAACTTTCCGATTTATTTTACAAGAGTGGTCCACGACCGAACTCTAGGACTGGCAGTGATGAACTAAAAACTTTCATGCTTACAACACTCACCCCCACAAACCCTGATGCATTCTTTCTCGGAATCATTCTTTCCTCATCCAAGCCGAATCGCTCTCACTCCAAACCAATCGTTCAACGATACACGCGCATTTCTTAGGCATTCCTCGAACTCGGACACCCAACGCGACACTCAACTCGATGATCCAAACATCCTCTCGCAAACGCTACGCATCCTCTCGCAAACGCTACGCGCTACGCAGCATTCACTCGGACTCAGGCAAACAACTCATTATCGCATCTCATTCACACCTAAAATCTTAAGACTAGACTAAATACAATAACTTAGGTAGGAACGTGGCGGCCGCTAAATCGACGCCACACTATCAATGATGAAATTAATTTATTATTAAAAAACGAAACAATGGATACTGGTACCTATTTTGAGTTGCTTGGTATATCATTAACCTAATATTTATGGGTATCCTGTCAAACTCAAAACGTTTCATTCTTACAATTTTTAAACGGATAATTTAGACCACAAACATCTCCACAAGTTGATGTTCTTAACTTTGTCAATAGCCTTCTAACAGGCCAAAAAGGCACATCAGTCTAGTGCCAATATATCTTTCCTTAAAGAAGTTTATTTCCTTGATCCTAAACTGTGCATCTCTGTGGTGTGCAGTGTTTACGAAATCCTTGTCTTCTCGGCGGGCCAACGCACTCGGATTCAATCATTCGATAGTCTCGCAGAGTGTCCCATTACCTAATTTCTTTGAAGGACCCAAGTCATTTGAGTTTTTGGGTCACCTTATTAACAAACGATATTTACAACCTTAGAGTGATGGCTAAAGGGTTGACGAACTCATTCGCTGAACCATCCCACCAATCACTTTTTTTTCCAAATAACAAACTGTCTTGATTGGCTGTTTATGGTAAAGTCTTCACGACTTCACTTTCTTATATTCCTTTCGTGTCTTACAGTTTTTGAACTACGCGTCAGTCTAAAACAATCTACGGTGAAATACACTAACATTTACGAACATTCATTATACGAAAGTGCATTCGTAGTAAGTGGAACGGATAACATAGCCTCCGCCGATCTGATCGTCTTTGAGAAGACCTGCGAGCCACATCGAATGCATGCAACTGATTTCGTTACCAATTCATCACCAAACTGATTCCGTCACGAATCCACAACTAAGAAATCCATCAACTTGTGGGATGATGATGTTCAAAGAGAGCCTCCTTGAGGTAAAGGTTTAAGACCCCGGCAGGAGAGTATGGCGATACCTTCCTGGACGTCTGCCTGGAGAATAGGGGGAGAGTACGGAAGTTTGTTCCGGGACATTCGTTTAATATTGAGGGTTCAGCGAACATTCATGAACGCCTGTCTATAGAGAGAGAACAAAACATCTCTTGGACAGCCCAAGAAGAATACAGGAGAGTACGGGAGGATACTCCTGGTCGCCCGTTCGTTATGGAGAGTTCGGAGAAATTACCTGTACGCCATTCGAACGAGAGAGAACAGAGTTACTCCTGGACGCCTGTTTGATTAGAGAGATTGAGAAACGATTAAGTAGTCATGATGTTTGCGATACGAAAAGAAAGAAAATTTGTTGCCTTGTTTTCCTTGTACGATCTCCTTAATCTTGGAATTAATTACTATTTTCCAAAGAACCTTGATTTCCTGAGATTTCCTGTGTTAACCTATTCCTTACATTGATTAACCATGTTTACAACATATAATTTCCATCACTGTAACAAGTTATGGAAATGCCATGGATCGAAGATTTACAATCTTCGAAATCAGTGAGACAGTGTTACGTCCCGGATCTTGGTTCGCGTTAAAAGGAGGAACTCATCAGAGTAGACATTGAACATACAATCCTTTTTGACCATGCAGCACTTAGTTTTTACGCTTTCCACCCTTTTATCGGGTAGGTCGAATGGTATTAATTTCCACTTGATGTTCGCGTCGGTGTTACAAGAAGTCGGTGCGACTAACTCGGGATTTGGGAGGTAAACGAATCTGTTGGTAGCGTCGTCCTCCCCATCGCGTTCTTTCCATGAGTCGAAAATGCAATAGTGGACGAACGCACTATATGACACCGTGCCGCTATGTCTTGCACCCCCGAGTCGTGCGGGCCGAAATTAGCTTGATTTAATCACTTGAGATCCCGTGCGGCTATATCTCGCACCTCCGAACTCGATCAAATCAAGGCAAAAGAATTATAATATAAGACTCATTGTCAGTGAGGATGTTACGACTAGAGAAGGTATAATAACGAATGATAAAATATTAATAATAATAGTAATGATATATTTGCAAGAAATAACAAGAACAAAATTAGTACAATAAGGATTGGCAAATACTTAATGATTAACGCGTAAATAAGGTAGGTAGAGTTGGAATCAGGAATAGAAGCTTGTTGCGTGAACAGCGCGGATTCGAGCACCCGGCACTATTCTGACCAGGTCACGATTTAACGAGCTCTGAGCCTGGTTTTAAGTGATAGTTTGTGATGTGATGATTCTCTTGTTTGAGATCTTAGTCGATTCGTTCGTATTTTCAAGTGTTTATTCTGTTCGAAATACAAGTGAGTTAGAAGTATTGTTCGTGATATTATCGTGTCCTCTTCGTGTTTTTTAGATGTATGTTATAGGAATATGTGATGTTTGAGATATTATCGTGTTCTTTCCGTGCTTTCGATATGTGATGTAGAAGATATATTCGTGTTCTGTCGGTTTCCGCAAAAGTGACTATCGACATTACCTCGGAATCGGTAATTAGGAAGGGGATGTGTACGTTCATTGGTAGCTGATTTTTGAGAGGTGACCGCCCTCGTAAGAAATGGTCACCTCCCTCACACAAGAAATGGTCACCCCTGGAAGTAGCCGCGACCAAGGGGTGACGCACAAGGACTTCCGCGATTTGGGAAAAACCCGTAGCAGGTAATAAGGTGAAAAAGCACTCTGACCCTGACGACGATGATTCAAAGTAACGGAATAGGAAATTAAACATGCTGGTCCCAAGCAGTAAACTTGGGTACCGACACGAAGGTATTTTTTGCTAACGAAAAATGGTCAATGGCTTCATAAACTTATTGCCTGTACGGTCAGTCCGGGATCCTCGGTCTATTGCCTGGTAAAAATACAAAAGATAACTGCATCGCACTCTAAGGCGATGCAACAAAGCTAGAATAATCTAACTTATCGGGGCTCGAACCCGTGACTTGGATAGGAACGTGGTGGCGATTATGTCCGGCAGAAGGATCGGGACAGAATGCACACCGAGATGCGATTTTTACGGCCTTCTATAGTGCCTCTGGATCATGGAGGGGGATCAAAGGATTCTCTATTGTTTACTTTCGAGCCACTCGGGGTCTCACGGCAGACCACACTCTGGAGGCCATAAAACTGTCGTTCGGAGTTATACGATCCTAGGTTTCTGCGCAAAGTACAAACAACGACAGAAATAATTATGTGTGGTGGAATTTTCGAACTTGGATTCAAGGGTTAGCGTGACGGGGCCGTCGCACGAGGTGTTGGGGCTTGAACTTAGTATCCGAGTCAAAATCCCGGGGACCACGCACCGCTAACCCTAAAAAGCCACAACCGGAGCTGCCCAATTCCAGAAATCTGGGTAACGCATGCCATTGTGTGCAGAACTGCGTGGTAGAGTTGCAAAAGTGCTACTCGGCGGAACCTGCTTACACTAACGGGAATAGTTCCGTTTACGTCGAATATTCGCGACCATTTTACATCCGAGGCCGCGGGGGACAGTACAGAGGAAAGCCTCTCGGGAGGGGGGCGTACCGTGGAAGAACCCCTGCATATGGGTACGGACATGGCCGATTACGATGTCTTTTTTCTTTAATAAAGATCGGCCCGAAGAAATCTACACCGGTATGGTCGAAAACCGGAGCCCTTTCGACACGGGATTTAGGTAAATTTCCCATGTGAATCTGTAATGGAGACGGACGATGACGAATACACGTGACGCAATGACGCACGATCTTTCGCACCTGATTCTTCCCGTCAAGCAGCCAATACCGATGCCGCACCATATGCAAGGTATTTTGTATCCCGGCGTGATAGGCCCTTTCATGGATTTCACGAATAATCAAGTCCGTGACGTGGTGGTGCGACGGCAGCAAAATGGGATGTTTTCGATCGGCAGGAATTTTGGCATTGAGCAATCGACCACCAACTCGCAACAGACCATGCTCGTCGAGGAATGTATAACTCCCTTTATATAATGTAAATGACCTTTCTCTCGGTCTCTAGTCGCTCTTGCACGCTAACGGAACTTCCTTTATAATTATTAGAACGTCGAAAACGATAAACGTATGAAGTAATATTTAAGAGCCGAGAATAAGAAGAAAAACGATGGAAAAATTTATTAACAATGGGAACCGTGGCTAAACATATGTTTTTTCTCAATCCCGGAAGTTCGGAAAGATCAGCACCAACAAGCCACTGATCTTCGGGTTGGCTAAGCCACATGGGCCCTTTAAACCAGCTGTGATTTTGTAAAAAATCCGAAGGACTTTGCCCTCGCGACAGTGCGTCTGCCGGATTATTACAGGACCGTACGTGTCGCCATTCGACAGAATTGTCAAGTGTTTGTATCTCTGCGACACGATTTCCCTCGAACGTCTTTAGTAAGCGTGAAGATTTCTTGAGCCATTGTAAAACAATGGTTGAATCTGACCAGAATATTGTTCGGATGATCGGAAAATGAAAAGTTGGACGCGCTTCTTTGTACAGCCGAACGAGGATCTGCGCGCTGCATAATTCAAGGCGTGGAATCGTAATTTCTTTAATAGGCGCAACTCGAGACTTGGAACACGCCAGCCGGACGAGGACGGATTCGTCCGGATCGGTTGACCGTGTGTTCAAGGAACGGTCAAGGATCGCTCCCGAAATTCCCAGAACGTTCTTACAATCATGTTTTGGTTTTAAATTTGACGAACGATGTCTCGACGTGCTTCCCTTCCGTTTGTGTACTTCCCGCCTCGTAGGCCTCGAGGAGAGTGGTGCAGATCGTAGGCCTCAGGGAGAGTGGTGCAGAGCGGGAGGGCGGCCGCGAGACATCGTGAAATTTCGAGTAACAGAATAGTTCTGGAGAATTCTTGGAAATCTATTATAAAGGGAGGGGTAATCGCGGTCGCGAGTACAGTACGTAAATAGAAGCGAGCGAGTAAACGTCAACAGTCTTTTTGTGAACTTATATTCTTTAAATACATTTAAATCTCTCTTTGAAATACACTCTTTCAGTCTTCCAACCCTTGCAAACGAATAACGAGTAGCTTCGTTCGTGCAGACCGGCAAATTTTCATTTCGGGCAGACAATTTGAATTCGAAATTTCTCTATCGAACAAATTCCCCGAACACCGTATGTCAATACACGCACCGTAACCATGCTTACTGGCATCGCAGAACCCGTGTACCTCGATCTGATTGGAATTTTCGCCTAAAATTCGGCGATCTATCCTTAAATCTCGAATGAAATTGAGCTGCTCGGCGTATGAACTCCATCGTACATACAACTCCTGAGGCACTGATTCATCCCAGCCAAGTTTTAATTTCCAGCAATCTTGCATGATCCGTTTTGCAACTAAAATGATGGGACCCAGTAAGCCCAATGGATCGAAGATTTTTGCAATATTTGCTAGGATGCTCCGCTTCGTGATTTTACCAGCCAAATCGATCGCGCTCACCGTGTAAGTAAATTTGTCCAATTGCGAATTCCATACAACCCCCAGCGTCTTTAAAATCGGATTCTCTTCTATCGCGTGGTCCAAGTCGAAAATCTTCTCTGTTATATTATCGAGCGCGTAGTGATGATTTGAAGCCCACTGGCGCATATTGAAACCGCCGCTTCTCAAAACCTCGATTATCTCATTCCGAATTTGCAAAACTTCTTCCAGGGAGTTTGCACCTGTCAATAAATTGTCAACGTACAAATCCCGATTGATTATACGGGAAGCTAACGGAAACCTTTCCTTTTCGTCATCCGCAAGTTGTGAAACAGTTCGAATTGCTAAAAGCGCGGCGGAAGATACGCCGAAAGTTACCGTGCGGAGCTCCCAAACTTTGATTTTGCCGTTGTGATACCAGAAGATACGTTGATATCGACGGTCATCAGGATGGATCAAAACCTGTCGATACATTTTCTCAATGTCGGCTGTTAAGACATAAATATGCGATCGAAAACGCAACAGCTGCTCAAACAGAGTGGGTTGAATTGTGGGACCTATCATAAGGATGTCATTTAAAGAGATGCCCTTATTAGTCTTGGCGGAGGTGTCAAAGACGACACGAACCTTAGTCGTGCTGCTTGACATTTTCGTAACGGCGTGATGAGGAAGATAGTAGCCATTCGTATTTTCTTCGCAAACGAGGGACATATGCCCGAGGTCAATGTATTCTTGCATTACCTTGTAATATTCGGTTTTTAACCGACTTCGAAAAAGGAGGAGGTTACTCAATTCGACCAGTATATTTTTTTTTTTTTTTTTTTTTTTTTTTTTTTTTTTTTTTTTTTTTTTTTTTTTTTTTTTTTTTTTTTTTTTTTTTTTTTTTTTTTTTTTTTTTTTTTTTTTTTTTTTTTTTTTTTTTTTTTTTTTTTTTTTTTTTTTTTTTTTTTTTTTTTTTTTTTTTTTTTTTTTTTTTTTTTTTTTTTTTTTTTTTTTTTTTTTTTTTTTTTTTTTTTTTTTTTTTTTTTTTTTTTTTTTTTTTTTTTTTTTTTTTTTTTTTTTTTTTTTTTTTTTTTTTTTTTTTTTTTTTTTTTTTTTTTTTTTTTTTTTTTTTTTTTTTTTTTTTTTTTTTTTTTTTTTTTTTTTTTTTTTTTTTTTTTTTTTTTTTTTTTTTTTTTTTTTTTTTTTTTTTTTTTTTTTTTTTTTTTTTTTTTTTTTTTTTTTTTTTTTTTTTTTTTTTTTTTTTTTTTTTTTTTTTTTTTTTTTTTTTTTTTTTTTTTTTTTTTTTTTTTTTTTTTTTTTTTTTTTTTTTTTTTTTTTTTTTTTTTTTTTTTTTTTTTTTTTTTTTTTTTTTTTTTTTTTTTTTTTTTTTTTTTTTTTTTTTTTTTTTTTTTTTTTTTTTTTTTTTTTTTTTTTTTTTTTTTTTTTTTTTTTTTTTTTTTTTTTTTTTTTTTTTTTTTTTTTTTTTTTTTTTTTTTTTTTTTTTTTTTTTTTTTTTTTTTTTTTTTTTTTTTTTTTTTTTTTTTTTTTTTTTTTTTTTTTTTTTTTTTTTTTTTTTTTTTTTTTTTTTTTTTTTTTTTTTTTTTTTTTTTTTTTTTTTTTTTTTTTTTTTTTTTTTTTTTTTTTTTTTTTTTTTTTTTTTTTTTTTTTTTTTTTTTTTTTTTTTTTTTTTTTTTTTTTTTTTTTTTTTTTTTTTTTTTTTTTTTTTTTTTTTTTTTTTTTTTTTTTTTTTTTTTTTTTTTTTTTTTTTTTTTTTTTTTTTTTTTTTTTTTTTTTTTTTTTTTTTTTTTTTTTTTTTTTTTTTTTTTTTTTTTTTTTTTTTTTTTTTTTTTTTTTTTTTTTTTTTTTTTTTTTTTTTTTTTTTTTTTTTTTTTTTTTTTTTTTTTTTTTTTTTTTTTTTTTTTTTTTTTTTTTTTTTTTTTTTTTTTTTTTTTTTTTTTTTTTTTTTTTTTTTTTTTTTTTTTTTTTTTTTTTTTTTTTTTTTTTTTTTTTTTTTTTTTTTTTTTTTTTTTTTTTTTTTTTTTTTTTTTTTTTTTTTTTTTTTTTTTTTTTTTTTTTTTTTTTTTTTTTTTTTTTTTTTTTTTTTTTTTTTTTTTTTTTTTTTTTTTTTTTTTTTTTTTTTTTTTTTTTTTTTTTTTTTTTTTTTTTTTTTTTTTTTTTTTTTTTTTTTTTTTTTTTTTTTTTTTTTTTTTTTTTTTTTTTTTTTTTTTTTTTTTTTTTTTTTTTTTTTTTTTTTTTTTTTTTTTTTTTTTTTTTTTTTTTTTTTTTTTTTTTTTTTTTTTTTTTTTTTTTTTTTTTTTTTTTTTTTTTTTTTTTTTTTTTTTTTTTTTTTTTTTTTTTTTTTTTTTTTTTTTTTTTTTTTTTTTTTTTTTTTTTTTTTTTTTTTTTTTTTTTTTTTTTTTTTTTTTTTTTTTTTTTTTTTTTTTTTTTTTTTTTTTTTTTTTTTTTTTTTTTTTTTTTTTTTTTTTTTTTTTTTTTTTTTTTTTTTTTTTTTTTTTTTTTTTTTTTTTTTTTTTTTTTTTTTTTTTTTTTTTTTTTTTTTTTTTTTTTTTTTTTTTTTTTTTTTTTTTTTTTTTTTTTTTTTTTTTTTTTTTTTTTTTTTTTTTTTTTTTTTTTTTTTTTTTTTTTTTTTTTTTTTTTTTTTTTTTTTTTTTTTTTTTTTTTTTTTTTTTTTTTTTTTTTTTTTTTTTTTTTTTTTTTTTTTTTTTTTTTTTTTTTTTTTTTTTTTTTTTTTTTTTTTTTTTTTTTTTTTTTTTTTTTTTTTTTTTTTTTTTTTTTTTTTTTTTTTTTTTTTTTTTTTTTTTTTTTTTTTTTTTTTTTTTTTTTTTTTTTTTTTTTTTTTTTTTTTTTTTTTTTTTTTTTTTTTTTTTTTTTTTTTTTTTTTTTTTTTTTTTTTTTTTTTTTTTTTTTTTTTTTTTTTTTTTTTTTTTTTTTTTTTTTTTTTTTTTTTTTTTTTTTTTTTTTTTTTTTTTTTTTTTTTTTTTTTTTTTTTTTTTTTTTTTTTTTTTTTTTTTTTTTTTTTTTTTTTTTTTTTTTTTTTTTTTTTTTTTTTTTTTTTTTTTTTTTTTTTTTTTTTTTTTTTTTTTTTTTTTTTTTTTTTTTTTTTTTTTTTTTATTCATATCTGTGACGTAATTGTATGATTCACAGAAATAAAAATTACTTCATTAGGAAATAGAAATTATTTTATACTTTTTAGTGCATTTCGAAGTCGGTGTATTTTTTTTCTGAAAATTATTTTATTAAGTCAAGGTTCGAATTTAGCTTACGCTGAAGGGAGTGGAAACGTTTTAGCGCTGTAGAGCGCGAATTTCCAAGATCACAGCCATCACTTCGGAAAGGTAAACGCACAATATACGTGGTGTGACCCAAAAGTAACGAGACTGGTCCAATAAATCATTGTACCTGTAGAATCAGTTCTCCGTGACATTATCACCTTCAAAGTAGTCCCCTTCAGCATTCACACACCACTGCATCGACTGGCGCTTACTTTGTGTGTCATAGGTAAAAATCCATGTCTCATCACATGTTACAACAGATTTCAACAAATTTTACAAGAAACTTGATGTTTATTCGCTGTTCGGTTTTTACGTTAGACATTTTTCCGGCAAAATGCAGTTGCACGTATTCACTAAATAACGCAATACTTCCAAATGGTATGACCGATTCAATCGAAATTTGCAAAATGGATAGAGGAGGTATGTGGGATGATGCCACAAAAGCAATTGCTGCCAATTCCATTGTTTTTTCAAGATACACACCGAGTCTCATTTCTTTTAGGTCACACCTCGTATCTCCCATCCGCGCCGCGTGTTGTTTCTTTTGCGTAGTGGATTTCACACGACGACTCCTCTGAGGTCTTGGATGATTTAGAATTTGCGTCTTCAAAATTTGGCCAATTGCTCAGAAAGATTAGCCAGGTTACAAGTTGCTGCGGGACTTGTTTTTTCACCGCCGAAATCTCCGGCAATTACCCAGCCTAATTGGGTTTTCTGAAGAATTAGATCGCCGTTATTATGTGCCAGGCTTATTTGGCCGATCGAAAGTAACGAAAGTAGAGACAAAGTGGCCCCCGATCCAATCAACATATCTACTGGTCGAGGTATATGAAACAGAGGGTCTGCTAATTTTAAGTTGGCCGGGATTTTAATCGACTCACGTGCAAAACTTTCATCCGGTACTAGATTAGCGATTTTTGGCAAAGTGAGAAACGTTAAAACGCCACTTCGTAACGCCACTCTAGAATTTTGAAAAAATCGATTTTTTTTTTTGCTT